GTATTACAAAGTAAATAATGTCTGAGAGTGGATACACATATTAGAGAAATGGACATACTGTAAGTATACTATCATTTCATAGACTCTCAGCTATTTTTCATAGATAGCACTCAGCATGTTCAAAGTTACAGGGAAAGAAAAACATTAAAAACCAAGAAACAGTCCAGATTATCACATCTTCCTACATTCAATAGTCTCATTTACAAGACCATATTTCAGAAATTAAAAAAAATAAAGGTATTATAACATGCTGGAGGGAAAAACCATGAGTTGGTTGCATATTCAGTAAGATGGTGTCTTTGTGAGAATAAATACATAAGTCAATAAGAAGTGCCTGTGAAGTTATCTTGGTGCTAGCCTGAAAACAAGTATATCACATCATGTGGCTCACTCAATTTTACTACTTTTCACATTCAATTTATACTAAAAAAAAATTTTTAAGTAACAACTATATAAAGGAACTTTACGAATATCCCCAAAATACCTCTCAATTATTTTTGCCAGCTCTGTAGACAATACTGCTGACAAGTCTATTTTCATGCCTGTGAGGGAGCTCTAAAAACCTAAAAGTAGCTGAAAATGCAGCATTCTCACAGGAAGTACTTAATATGCTGATTAATGCTAGTCCAAATAAATTTAGTTTTCATTTTAAAGAGCAGAAATTAACTCTGCTCTTTATTTAAATCTGAAATTTTACTTTATTACAAAAAGAAAAGACATATGGCTAAACTCTAGGGGAACGCATCCCTATAAGTAGCAAATATCAGAATACACAAACAGTATTGTACGTAGTTAAGATTTCTTCTTTTTAAAAAACCCTATATTAAAATATGTTTTAAGCGCTATTCTAAAATGTCCCAAACTTTATAAAGCATAACCAAGGTACTAGGACATCTAGAATATTTTTGAAGACCAGAAAAGTGACTTTTTTTTTTTTTTGGAAGAAAAGCACAGTTAATAATTATTAATTCTGCTGTACTAATGACTTATAGCTGAAAAATTATTACCATTAACTAAAAGCAATGGTAGGGAACAGTATGGTACTTAAATGCCCCATGTACATACATGTACATGTAAATTTTGGAAAGTTTTCAATATTACTAATGAGAATAAATGGAAATGATCATAAGTAACTATTTTTGCTGGTATTAGATTTATGCTCACAGTGATGCAAATAATTTATTGTAGAAACGAGTATATATATTCTAAAAGAAAAAAACTCAAAAAACAGCTAAGAATTATATTTATTAAAATGCAATTAATTGCAATTAAAATGGACTATATAGGAAGTTCAACACTTAAGACAAATAAACTAAAGAAGTATATTTGCACCATAAAACAAAAATCAAAAAAACAAATTAAAGCATTACAATTCAAGGTAACAGATTCATTAAGTTGCATAAATTACAAAATGCTTATAACAAAGGGGGAAATGTTAACAAATATGTTAATCATAATTGGTATTTTATCCAAAAACAGGAAGTTCATCAGGTACCAAAAATAGTACTTCTTTTTCCAAAATAAGTGTTAGGTTCAAGAACTTTTTTAACCGAGTAAACAAAAAAATGGTTGCTTCTCTTTTGATATCACTGATCAGTAGAGAAAAGAAAAGCCAACTTTAAGAAGAAACTTGATGTGAGATAAAGAATTCAAAATAGTGCACCTTGGAATTAAATTATTATTTTGTCTCCTTCACAATGCCTAACCATCAGGTGATACGTAAGTAGTGTCACCTTCAGATACTCTCCAGTGTCCAATTAAAATCATACTCTATCTGGCAATCTACAGTCACAATTACAGCAAATGTTTTAAGGAAGTAAGAATAAAGAAGTTTTGTAGCTTTAACTGAAGCACTACTTTGTTATAGAATGAAAGTGTCTTTCCTTTCTTTTTTTTCTTACCTGTCAAGAGTTATCTGACTGGAGGAGTCATTGTCATAAATCCTCAAGATTTATGCACGAATTGAGGAATAAAAGTAAATTCTCTTCCCCTTGCATATGCCTACCATTATAGAACATATTATGCATATACCCAATAAAAAAAGGAAACCATTCAAAATATTTTAGAAGTTATTTAAAAGTTTCCTAACTTCAATTTTCACAGTTTATCTTAGATTTTATGATTTAATATTGTAATCTAATTTCTTTTCGATTATTCTAGTCTGAAGTAATTGCTGTTTGAACTCCTAATACAACTTCTCTACAGAATCTGTGTTGCAGTCGATGAAACAATATTTTTATTATGATATGTAATACTGTATTAACATTTACTGAGTGCCTACCATATTTAAGGCACTGTAGGGGATATACAGAAGGACACAGAGAGCTCACTGCTTTAGCAGAAAGACACACAGAAGTGCACATACTGACAGAGAGCACACAACAGATTTTAAGTGCAATATAGTAAGAACACAGAACAAGGAAGTATAGGTAAGTAAGAAATAATTCCAATGATGTGATCCAGGAGTGTCTAGAGGAGAGGTGGTTAGGATAAAGAGGAGGGATAGGGCATCTGATGAAAGAAAATGCTTAAATAAATGAAAGAAGAAACTAGAAAGCATATTTTAGGAAAGGAGAGTAGTGTACATAGCTGAAGAGCAGGGTGGGCAGAGGGATTTTATTTAGTGGGAGACAATGTTAGAAAGACAGACTGAGGACGCACCAGAAGTGGGTTTGAATGCCAAACCAAGGTATATGGATTTTCTTCTATGTATAATAGGAAGTAAATGAAGATTTAAGAAAAGGAGAGAGGACTATTAGATTTATGCTTTTAGAATAATAATTTTGTTAACTGTATGAAAGCTGAATCAGCAATAAGACTGAAAACGGAAAATAATCAGAAAGATATTGTAATATTATCGGTAAAAGTGCTGAGTACTTAGGGCAGCAACAATAAGAACAGAAAGAATGGAATGGATTGGAAAGACAGGCAGAATAAACAGAATTTTAGAACTGAAGTTGAGAATAAGTGAGAGAGCAGTCAAAGATAACCCAAGATTCTGAGCCTAAACAACGAGGCAGCAAGGGGGTCAAAGTACTGATAAACTCCTGGACAAATCATTCACGGTCTATGTGTTTCAGTATTATCTCACATGTAGACTCTAATACAAAGAAAGTCATGTAGAGTGGTTAAGAGCTCAGGTTCTAAAGTCAGACCTTGTTTAAGTTGTAGCTATATCACTAATTTCTTTATTAGCCTCATACTCTTCATCTATAAAATGAGGATGGTATTAACACATACCTGAAAAAATTGTTGTAAGGACTAAATGAGATAAAGCACTTAACACAGGTTTGGCATGTAGTTAATTGCTATCATCATCATAATCTTTTATTTGAAGGGTAGGGAACAATATTATTATTTTGTCTCCTTCACAGTTTTGAATGCCAAACTATCAGGTGTTCAAATATTTGCAAATTTAAAAACATAAATCCAGACACGATCTAAAATATGGTCATTGGTTTCACCCTACATTATACATCCGTTGTATGGGTACCAACAAACAAGAATAAAAATCCTTTTGTTTTCTGTGCTCACCCTCTAGTGGTGATACTAAGAAACTAAAAAATAGCAAAAAACTAGAAGGAAGTATATGATATAAAAAGGCAATGAGTAACCAAAGATTGAGAGTTCAGGATAGATTAAATTATCAAAATGAACTTCAAAGTGAACATTTCCCTAAGCCAAGCTGGTTCAACTATAAACAGAAGACACTTACTTGATACGGAACTTCCTTAAATTTTTCTCAAGGTAAAGTTGTTCCAAAAATGTGTTCATGGAAATCGCTAGGTTAAGTAAAGCTAACCATTTTCCTTTTGTGCACTTCTTAGGCCCTTTATAAGTACGGTGACTCTCCAAAAGCAGTCTTTCTCAGCAAACACTTTTTTAGGACACTTTTTTTTCTTTAAGTTGAGGAACATCCACACTAGAAGTTCATATAACTAACTGAATTATTAATAAGGAATTAGGTGGGTAGCGCAAGCAGTTAAGTGCTTGACTACTAGTTGGAAGTCTGGCAGTTCAAACCCACCCAGAGGCACCTCAGGAGACAGGCCTGGCAATCTGCTCTGAAAGGTCACACCCTTGAGAACCCTAGGTAGTAGTTGTACTGTGCACATACGGGGTCAACATGGGTTGAAACTGACTCAGTGGCATACTAAGAACAATAACAATAGTTACTTAGCAATAGATTTAAAAAAATAATTACCATGCAAATGGATAACATGGGTTTAGAGAACACCCTAAGAACGATCTTAAAGAAATGTAAGTATCTCCCTAAAACTACCGCTCTGAGGTAATCTTTAAACCTTAAACCAAATATATCCCCTTATATCTTCTCTAAACCAAACAATAGTTTAAGTTAATTAGTAAAGAATGTCTGCCTTGAGCATTACGTGCTTTTCAAGCACTATCTGTATGGGATCAAACTGACAACAGCAACTTGAAAGGTTAGATAAGGAGCTTAGGGGGCAGTAAGATTATGTTAATGATGGAGGAACAATTCAGAAAAGGAAAATGAAAATGGCTGCACAACTTGAAAAATGTAATCAATGTCACTGAATTGTACATGTAGAAATTGTTGAACTGGTGTATATTCTGCTGTGCATATCCTCAACAACAAAAAATAAACTTAAAAAAAAAATACACAGCCTCAAAAATAATGGCAAAATTAAAGGTGAAACAGAAAAAGAAATATACATATAGACAGATAGATAGATAAATCTCAAAATAGAATGCAGTTTAATTATATCTTTAGGTATGAGCCAGTATACCTGATATTTTATATCTACATTTAACATGTTTTAGTCATTTAATAATACCTGTATTCATTTAATAACCAAAAAATCATCACAGAAATTAATCTATTGAATGAAGATATAATTTCAACAGAACTTTAAAATGATTTAAAATTTCAAATAAGCCAAAATTATTTCCTCATCAGTATCATAAATAGGGAAATATTTTTAAATTGCATACAAGACAGTACAAGGTGGCATCTTTACCTGGGATTTCCTCTGAGTGCCGCATGGTGTAGAGCATTAAATCCATTATTATTTGTGATGGTAACATCTGCTCCAGCTTCCAGAAGAACTGCCAGGATATCATCACGTTTCTTACTGATTGCATCATGAAGAGGGGTATCGCCTTCAGAATCCTTTTTTTTTAAGTATAAAGAAACTTTCATTAGTTCTTCTTTAATTAATCACCACATGTAATATTAATACTACTACTGAACTCTAGGCAAAGAAAAAATAGAACTCATGTCTCACAACCATCAGTAATAGGTCATGCTCTGTGTTAAGTATAAAAATGCAGGCTAGAAAAACACTACCCATATTATGCTAAAAGTAATTTATACTATAAAGTCATACTCAAACTAAGTAGAAAACACAATAAACATGCTATAGCTTTCCAAAGAAAAGGAAAAATAAAATCAAAGACGTTAAATACTCTCAAATATAATTCAGCTAGTAAGACAAATTAATGAGGTGAAAAAGCTGCCTAAAAAAACTAATGAGTCTAAAATGGTCTGATAAACCATATTCCTGAAATGCCATACAAACCTACACCAGTCTCAGGCCCCATAACAACAAATTTAGTCAGTGGTTGTCAGTCTTGGCTACACATTAGAATAGGCTGGGGAGCTCTTAACAATCCTGATGCCCAGGGCACCCCAGACCATTTAAAGCAGAATCTCTGGGTGTGAGAATCAGGCACCAATAGTTTTTCAAAGCTCCCCAGGTGACTGTACTGTGCAGTCATGGCTGAGAACCACACTCATCTAAGTGTTTTCAAAGGTAGGAAAGAGGCAAGTTAGCTCAAATTGAAAACAAATGTGAAAGATAATTTAGGCATCTCAGTTTACCTTTCTTTCAAGCTGACTACTTTTTTCATTAATCTATTCTTTATCAGTAAATGGCTATCCATTATCAGTCATCTGAGTAAACTGGTAATGTAGACCTCATTCATTTATTAGGTTCACAAACGCTATTCTCGATAAAGTCATATATACATTACTCTATTGCATATACCAGGATTGGCAAACTATAGCCCGTGGGCCAAATCTAGCATACCACCTATTTTTACAAATAAACTGTACTGGAACACAGCCATGCCCCTTCATTATGTATTATCTTTGGCTGCTTTCATTCTACAATAGTACATGTGCTAGAGACCGTATGACCCGCAAAGCCTAAAATATTTATTATCTGGCCCTTTACGGAAAAAGTTTGTCAATCCCAGGTATATGTTCACCCGCCCACATAAAATATCTCTGACCCAAGTTCAGTCTGTCTATTACCCTATACCTGATGACACTAAACAGTCCGTCCTCGACTTGAGGTGGGCTCTTAACATGGTTGGGATATCTTTCTGCGGGTCCCTGATCTGTTCTACCTTTGAGTCCCTATAGTAGTCACAGGCAGTCCCCGGGTTACAAACGAGATCTGTTCCTAAATCTGTCTTTAAGTAGAATTTGTAGGTAAATCAGAACAGGCACATACATATCTTACTTAGCATCAGTCAAATGTTTGTCCTAATATATTAATATATATTTTACCTTTCTACACATATAAGACACTTAAGAAACACTTCCAAACCGAGGAATGTTTTCATGAGTGTCACAAAGTAGTGCATGCGTTCGTTATTATGAATGATTGTATGTATTTAACTCTGATTTTTAATATATAGGCTTTATGGCAGTCCCTTCTTAAGTATGAGTTGTCTGTGAGTCAGATGTTTGGAACCCAGGGACCACCTGTATTCCAAACCTTCCTCACTCTTCTCAATTCTCCTTTCTCAACCTCCCATCCCTCACTCACACCCTCAACAGATGGCCTTGCCTCCCATTTCAGACAAAAAAGTCAACAGGTATAAATTCCATCTCCTTCAACCGATTAATCCCTCCTCCCAGTTCCTCTCCCATCCTCCAATTCTGCCACCCAGTTCTAAGGCCACACCCTAGACCCTGTTAGTACCGAAATGGCTGTAGCTCAAAAACACTCGCCTCTAATAACCACCTATGTGAACAATACTTTCAGTTCTTCTCAAAACCCTCACTGCCACTACTTCTTCTCTTTTTTTCATTACTTCTCAGAGATCTATCCAATCCAACAATCCAATCCTGGCTACTGTGAATTATTTGAACTACAAGCAGCTTATGATACAAAGCTTTTTTCTTTTCTTTTTAACCATTATTGCATTTCCAGTTTAAACAAAACATTTTTCACAAATTCAAACAGTATTTCAGGGGCCATTTTTTATTTCAAAATAATATGCTATTTCAAGTCTATTCTGTTAAAGATGAACATGATTGAATAAAAGGGGGAAAAAAGGAACTTAAAGGCTGTCTAAATTATGTTCATTTGCTTATTTTATTTTGCTATGAAATTATTAACTATTCAAACCACATTTTAATTTAGCAGGTACACAAAAGACAGGTTTAGTAACCACACTAAGTAGATAATGAAAACAACCTACATTTCCCTTCTATCTGTAGTTTAAGTCATCTGGTTGTTATAATGTTGATGTGAAGAATCATTTCTCAGGTGACCTCTGCTTCAAAAACAACATACTACTATTAAGCAGGGGAGCCCTGGTGGTGCGAAGAGTCTTTCTCTATGGGAGAAAGACCTGGCGATGTGCTTCTGTAAAGATTACAGCCAAGAGAACCCTACAGGGCAGTTCTACTCTGTCACATGAAGTCACCACGAGTCAGAATCAACTTAATGGCACCTAACAACAACAACAACATTGTTAAACAACCCTAAGACCCGATATATTTTCCAAAACAGAAAAATCTTTGAAGACTAATGACTAGACCAAGACTCTAAGATAAATTAAACCAAACCCATTGCCATCGAGTAGATTCTAACTCATGGCGACCCCGTGTGTTGCTGAGTTGAACTGCCCATAGGGTTTCTTTGGCTGTAATCTTTATGGAAGTGAATCACCAAGGCTTTCTTCCACAGTGCCACTGGGTGGGCTCGAACTGTCAACCTTTAGGTTAGTAATCAAACACAAACAATTTGCACTACCCAGGAACCTCAAGATAAATTAAGCCATACTTAAAAGAATTTAGATTGTTATCAAGTAACTATTATGAAGTGCAGCCCATTACACTTTTTTAAGCTCCTAACATTCACTATTATGATTTTAAAAAACGTTTAATCAATTCATAAGCTGATATTGTTGCAAGGAAGCATCCCCTCTCACCCTCAGTCTAAACCTGATCTACTGACACTTTCTAATCAAAGGCTTTTCTAAGAAGGAATATCTGCTGATTTTATTACATTCTATATATCTGGTACCATTTTCTATCGCTGATCGTACAAAAAAAAATTGATAAGGAATCCTTACCATAGAACTTACGGTTTCCCCTTAATAGGATCCTAGCAATATCTGCAGAATATATTTCTTTAAAGGTTTTACCTGGAGACTGGGATGACAGCCAAAGTCCAATAAAGTCTTCACAACCTGAAGATGGCCTTTATTGACAGCAATATGAAGTGGCGTCTGTCTGCGCTTGTTGCGAGCATTCAAATCAGCGCTGCCTCGGTGCAGTACTTCTATAACAGCACCTTCATCTCCAAAAGCTGCATGGTGAACTGCTCTATCTCCATCTTTATCCTAAATATTAGCATTTAAATCTGAATTAGTGAATACTTTAGAAAGAAAAACAATTTAAGTTTCTAAAAGCTTGAAGATATATACCAAGAATCAGACTAACTTAAGAAAACAAAACATAGAATGGAGCTCACAAAATAACCAGAAACTGATGTGAACAGTGATGAACTCCAGACATAAATGATGAACCTAGATCAATATATTATACCATACATACATTAGACCAATAACTGTAACAAGTGGTTCACTCCTTCATTACACATAATTTATGAGCCATGACAGGAAGCCAACATTAGGAAAATGGTTAAATAAATTATAACACACCTATATAAATATTTTTTGCCATTTAAAAAAAATTTACAGACTAAATGGGCGGCTCCTGTCCAGAGGTGAGATGAGAAGGCAGAGAGGGTCAGGAGCTGGTTGAATGGACACAGGAAATCAGGGGTAGAAAGGAGGAGTGTGCTGTCACAGTATAGGGAGAGCAATTAGGGTCACTTAACAATGTATGTATAAATTTTTGTATGAGAGACTAACTTGAATTGTAAA